TTTCATCCGTTGTAGGTCGTTTTGTATGTTTTTTCCTGTCCGTCCAGTCGTTTCTTGTATTTTTATCTCTATTTTGGTATGTTTGGTATTTTCTTCGTTTTCTTCCTATTTTCTCCGTTTTTCGTGTTTTTCGGTTGTGGTGATTACAGGTTCTAGACGAGGGAAGAGGTATTCCGTTTCGGTTCCTAGGAGTTTCATGTTGTTCGTGCGACCCAAGCAGACAGAAATCGAATTTTCATCTCCAGCAAAACCTGAAAGACATTAGCCGTGAGTCCACGAGTCAACCGAAGGCCATTAGCTGCTTTAAATCAACAAAAATGTGAAGATCCAGGCCTTAGTGTCGCTAGCTACCTCAGCGTCGCTAAGGGATTTCAGCTAGCGGCGCTAGCATACCTAGCGACCAACTGAGGCTGCGAGTATATTGACCTTAGCGCCGCTAGGGAGCGGCCTAGCACCGGTAACCCCTACCCTAGGGCCGCTAACCCCTAGCCCCGCTATGGTCTGTCTTTATGAAATCACGATTTCGTGGGTTTTGAAGGGGAGTTTATATTTTCGAACCTAGGGTATTTCTCAGGCATCTTGAACATTGTATTTTCTACGTTGCACTTTCAGAACACCTTATTCTCTTAGTTTTCATCGGGATTCAACCTTGGAGAGTAAAACCTCCGAGATTTGTCTTTGGAATTTGGATTGCATGTTGTTTTTTACATTGGAATTTATGAGGATCTCGTTATGTACAAATCACGAATTCAATAACAAAACGTAAACCTATGCACAGCGGATCTAAAGGTTTGCGTAGAGTACTTACGACTTAAAATTTATGGTGATCTAGCTGATCTTCTGGATGGCCGTACACTGAACACCAATGAATCAGATCACATGAACGGTTGACCGCAAATCACGTCTTGGGATTGCCCGAACAAGATCAGATCGAAAAACGGATTAAACGAGAGCAAACAGATAAAACAAAACTTGCAGTCTGGGAGCTTCCGGCGGCGCGTGCGAGTGTTGTGAGGAGGCGGACGGCGGCAATCTCGGCGGTGATGGAAAGCTGACATCGAGACGGTCGTCTGGGTATGCTTCCCACATCGATCGGACATCCGGTTAGATCTGTACAAAAAAAAATATATTTCGTCTTGGTTTACCTACAGATCTTCTACTGTATTACTCAATACACTCTTCTTCAACTTGTACTAGTGGAGCAATAAGAAGAAGACAAAACTCGAATAAGAACTGAGAGAGAGAGAGAGAGAGGCGTGGGGCGCGTGTTTCAAGAATAATGAATCTTGTGTTCTCTTCCCATGAGCTTAATGATGTATATATAGAGCTACAATAGGGACCCTTATGAGATTAGGAGAAGGGCTCCTTAATTAATTAAAATACTTCTGGGCCAGCCCACTTATTCTAATTAATTAAATAAATTTAAATGGTCCACCAACATAGTATTATTGCACTTCTTTTTCCTAGCCCAATTTACAATTGAGACTCCAATAATAATTACTCGATTTATCTCCACATGTTTATGATATAATGTCCATTAATTAATTTATTATTATTTCACCGAAGCTAGCGCTGTTCATCACATTCATATTATGCCGGAATTTAATCCACCTGTAGGGTTTAGCATAACATTCCTTCATGAACTCACTTCGGGGACATCATCAAACTAATGAACATAGTGTCCGTAAATATCCTAACATCACATCCTACATGTAGCAATATTACCCACGACAGAGGGTCTATTGGCCCAGTTCACTAAGCCTCACCCATGTAAATCAAAGTAATAAGTACTACACATATATGTCTGTTTTACTTCTTACGGGTTAAGAGTATGCAGTAATTAACCGTACAGTTCGTTTACGATGATCAGCACAAAATGAACTGCTCTTCTTTGGGATCATGTTCAATAAATGTACTAGTGCACCTATCAGTCAAGACAAACTGTACCATTGACACTACAACTATACCTATGTCGATCCTATCGCCATGCACTTGACTTCCATTTCTATCATGTACTTGACGAAGATCTTCTCCGACAAACTCTTCATGAAAAGATCAGCTAGGTTGTCCTCAGATGCAATCTTGGCAACATCAACGTCTCCTCTACCAACTATCTCTCGAATCAGATGGTACTTGCGCTCTATGTGTTTGCTTACTCTGTGGGCTCGTGGTTCCCTTGAGTTTGCTACTGCTCCACTGTTATCACAGTATATGGTGATACCACGTGGCAAACTCGGAATCACTTCTAAGTCCACTAAGAAGTTTATGAGCCAAGCTGTCTCTTTCACTGCCTGTGAGGCTGCTATGTACTCGGCTTTCATGGTGGAGTCTGACACGTATTTCTGCTTAGCACTCTTCTATGAAATGGCTCCACCTCCCAAGGTAAACACATAACCTGAGGTTGACTTATTTTCGTCCCTATCTGACTGGAAATCAGAATCACTGTAACCCATAGGTAACAAGTTGTCTGCACGGTAAACTAACATGTACACCTTAGTCTTTGTCAAGTACTTGAGTATATGTTTCACCGCAGACCAATGTTGCCAACCTAGATTACTTTGATATCTAGCTACTAAGCCAATGGCGTAGCTGATATCCGGTCTGGTGCATAGCATTGCATACATAAGACTTTCAGCTACTGATGCATAAGAAACTGTCTTCATGTCCTCAATCTCTTGAGACATATTATGAGACATCTCCTTAGAGAGAGGGATTCCTTTCCTGAAAGGTAAGGTACCTTTCTTGGAATCCTGCATGCTGAACCTAGCCAAGACAGTATCTATGTATGAAGACTGAGAAAAACACAGCATTCTCTTCTTCCGGTCTCGAATGACCCTAATACCAGGAATGTGTCCTGCTTCTCCTAAGTCCTTCATAAAACTTCTTAGACAACCACACCTTTACGTCTGACAACTCCTTCTTATTGTTTCCAATAAGAAGTATGTCATTTACGTACAACACAAGAAACACCACCATGCTCCCACTAATTTTCTTGTACACACAGTGCTCATCCAGACATTGAGTGAACCTGTACGACTGGATCACCACATCGAACCGAATGCCCAAGATCT